AATAAAGAGTACTAAATATCATGATGGATTACTAATGGCATAAGTTTCATTAACCCGCGGAAGTGATCGCATTAAAATAATTTCCCCTCAAATTGATATTGCAGTCAATGGAGATGTTGCATGTGTGAGGAATTTGCGATTTGATTGTTGATTCTTTTGTAAAAGTTCGCGAGAAACACGATGGTGCCACTGGTTTTCTCTGAAATCAATTCCCAAGCTCAAAAAAAGCTCTCAAGTTGAGGCCAAAATGGAGGGGATATCCGATATCCCACGCTATCCTGAGAGTCCACCTCTACATCAAGACAAACTCTCCATGCAAAGATAGGGAGCGAATACATTGACAGGGCTGCCACTTTATTTGGGGACTCTAAAATTGAAAACACGGCAACACTGCTAATGTATTTTCTCCCTATCTTTGCATGGAGATTTCGTGTTGATTTAGAGGTGGACTCTCAGGATAGCGTGGGATATCGGATATCCCCTCCATTTTGGCCTCAACTTGAGAGCTTTTTTTGAGCTTGGGAGTTGATTTCAGAGAAAACCAGTGGCACCATTGTGTTTCTCGCGAACCTTTACATAAGAATCAATTGTCAAATCGCAAATTCCCCACACATGCAATATCTCCATTAGATAACTACTACACTGTGATACGCATATGTCCGGCTAATATCGTGATTTTAGTCTTTGAATGTTTATTGAATCTTCCTAATCTAGAAACTCTCATTTTCTAGAATTGGTCCCCCTTTATGACCGCATTTTTGATAAATGTTTCAAGGTATCCCGAGATGGGGGATTTGTCGGTTTTGTATACATACAACTCCTCGACCTTCCCATGCAAAGAGAGCTGTTTCAAGTGGCGTAATTGCGATACATCGATTGTTATGCCATTTAAACCTATAGAAAGGGATCGATAAACCGGGTGTTCGCTGCGAACACCTCAATAATCGATTCTTTACCATAGGTTTAAATGACAAAACAATCGATACATCGCAATTTACGCCACGCCACTGGACTTAACCTTCATTTGGGTCTCATTTGTGGCTTTATCAGAGTTCAGTCAGGCTCTTATCAGAATCAAACCATAAAAGGTCTCAAATCATTTTTATGAACGTTAAATTCACATTATAATGAAATTTTAAGATTGTTTTAAAGCTTACAAATGTCTCTTGACTTCCAATTCTCTGTTACCTTGACTCAAAATCAAGGTTTATTTTTCAACGAAATAAAGTAGGAGTGTTGCTACAAAGCTTGGACCTTGTATCTCATAGTAACCACTTTGGAAAGAATTCCGAGTCCTGAATGCTGACCACAACAACTATATTTAGCTCACTATGCCGGTGGCCGTTAGCATCATTTATGGCATCAAATGCGAGGTTTATTGAATTACACATTCCACGTTTTTCAGAGAAAGAATGTGCTATGTTCTTAGCACGTGCTCAACCGCCGCTAGCAATGCAACTCTTTGTTTATTGAGGCCAAGATTTTCCTTTCTTTTTTCTTTTCTTAAAAAATATAAGTAAACAAACATTTTCTTGACATCATCTTACAATAGACTGATACACGTATACAAAAATCCAGCATTGTTACTCATTTTCCGAGTTAGCCTCGAGAATTTCTAAACCCAAGTAGCATTTTTCGACGGAAAAATCGCGATATTTCGAAATTAAATTGTGACTTTTTTACGATTTTATCGGCGATGAAATCGCGAAAAGAACGAGGATAATCGCTCATATGTTGATGATCCTAGCGATTTTATCGCCAATAAAATCGCCAAAAAATGGGGGTTGCGTTGTATCTCACCGCGAGCCATATTATGACCTGCGCGGCGGACTCACGCGTCTTCAGCCGATTTCCGTCAGGTTCAGCCGCCAGGTCCTTTGACGAAGACCTGGATTTTTTGAGATGCTCTTTCTAAATTCGACTTATAATTGGATAATATTTATCAATTTTTGTGTGTGTGTCACACAAGAAAGAACCACTATTCCTGGCTCGCCTATAAAGGATCTCCTGCATGATGATACCAAAATCACATGTAAACGGCTTGGAGGACAAGGCGCACAAGCACAGTTTCTGAAAGAATTGAAATATTAGTGATTTTGACTATAACTAGTCTTGAAATATATTCTGCGAAAAATTCATCTGTAAAATCCAACTTTAGTGCATCGAAAGAAGACTTTGAACTTCTCTTCCTGCCATAAGGTTCCATGTATTTTGAAAGTTTCAACTTATATTTCTCGAAATAGCAAAAATTGGACTTATGCGCCGCCCCACCCAAGCTCCTCATATGATGTCTATAAAATTTGCCATAAATAGTGGTCCCTCACTGCAAAATTTAGTCCAAGTGAGGAGCCCTTGTTTCTAGCCAAATATAGACTTTAAGTCACTTGCGATGAACGTCGGAGAGTAACCAAGAGTTAGAGCATATCTCACTGCAGAGCGTAGTGCACGTAACAGACGACTGTCAAATGGCCGAGCACAAATCGTCATTTAGTCGACGTAAAGGCATGCTACGGCAATTTGAGAAGACCCCTCCATCTATTAAATCCCATTTCTTCCAGGGTCCAAGTGAAAATGAATGCGTGGCGTTTGGTGAGGGGAGCTACGAAATAGACGGTCGCCCATTGATTATCATGAATTAGACGGTGGGTCCGTTGACCGTTTTTTTACCTCTCGCACATGGGCGACGTGTACCGGCGTGACACTCAAAGGAGCGAACGGAAAAAGGTACGAAGGGCATTAGGGCACGGTAGACATAATGGCATGATTACATGATTAGACATAATTGAAATAATTTGGAAATGAGAATAGATGAAAACTAATGTTGAGTATAGTCAAAAATATGTTGTGCAGCTCTGGATATGCCTTTTTACTGCATATGAGGACTTATATGTAACAATAGCGGATGTGAAAAATTATCTTTTCGAAACACATTAAAAAAACTGTTTTGGCATCGAGAAAATTTTGTGAAAATAGTTGAGATGTGATCTTCGAGATCTGTACATTATGCCAGAGCCAAAGATATTAAATTTTTGTGTGAACAAAACAGTTTTTTAAGCGAGTTTCGAAAAGGTGATTTTTCACATACGCCATTGTTACATATAGGGTCTCATATATAGTTCTCCAATTTGGAGGAAATCTAATTTTTTGCAATATATCGTTGAAGATGAGAATAAGGGCAAGGCTCTCGAAATGCGTCAACTCGAAAAATGATTGCTCAGGTGAGCCTTTTTAGAAAATATGGATACTGAATACATTACAGTGGACTCTCGATAATTCGAACCTCGATAATTCGAAAACCTCGTTAATTCGAAGGAAAGTCTGTTTCCCTTGAAAATCTCTCGATAATTCGAAGAAAATCAATGTATTTTTCTCCCCTCGTTAATTCGAAATTTTAAAGCTGGCTTGGCCCTCTATAATTCGAAATTGCGACGAAAATTCTCTCTGTAATTCGAAATGTGGGAAGTAAGTATGGCCCTCCCTCTATAATTCGAAATAAGACGGTACATTCCCTCTACAATTCGAAGTCAACTGTTCATGTTCCTGGGTGTCTGAAAGAGCTTGACCTTTGAGCTAAAGACCTTTAGGCGTAAATCCGTCCATTTGCCCCTCTATAATTCGAATTCAGATGGCGCCTTCCCTCTATAATTCGAACCTCTCTAATTCGAAATTTTTCTACATGGAATCTCTTTAATTCGAACTCTCTTTATTTCGAAACCTCGCTAATTCGAAGAAAAAGCCGATTCCCTTCAATTTCGAATTATCGAGAGTCCACTGTATTCTTGTGCAGTCCTCTGTTAAAAGTGTTATTTTGCCCTCCATAGCATAGGGTTAACCAATCCGTAACAGCGTATTTTTTAGTCTTTTAAAAATGAAACTATTTGTCGGGGGCGCATGACGTTGCAACTTTTTAGTAATGTTTTCTTTTTTCGAAAAATGATAACCAAAATGTTGGAATTTCTGTGGAAAAATTTCGGAACTCTATATTTTGACGAGAGCCGGATCATGGATTTGTGAGAATTCGAGATGAAAAGTAACAAATGCGGTAGAGGATTAAATTTTCTCCTCTCCTTAATTTCCTTCCTTCCCCTCCTCCCTGAGTCCAAAATAAATATTTTCAACTATGTTTGCTTTTTTCGGCCATATCATCGATTTTTTCAGCTGTTTTTTTGTTATTCCCTCAGAATGTAACTATTTTAAGCTGCTTTTTGAGTATTTTCAACTAGTAACGTTCCAGCTTCTTTAAAAGGTATTTTTCGAATTTCTTGTGTGTAGAGCCTAGGAAAAATACACAGACGAGATACTCTCCACTGGTATCTTGGCGAAGGTGGAAGCTTTTACTTTCGGGACTTTAGGATTCTACTGTTGACTTACCTACATGATTGATGTTCAACAACGATTTGGCAGTTTCGTCTTGTAAACAAGCCGAAAATTGCTGAAGTTTCGGAAATTTGTTTGGCTCATGACACCACTCGAAGCTCATCATCCACCATGAAGGTAGGTCAACAGGCGAAATTAGGGTGATGACTGTTGCTCCTTTATGATTGTCCATAAGGAATTATTGAATCCCCGAAAGTAAAAGCTTCCACACGTCGCCCAGAGGCCAATGGAGGGTCTCTTGCGGAGACAAGAGACCCTCCACTGGCCCCCTAGCGACAGGCGGAAGCTTTTACTTTCGAGGTTTCAACAATTCCTTATGGACAATTATTAAGGAGCAACAGTCATCACCCTCCTAATTTCGGCTGTTGACTTACCTACATGGTCGATGATGAAGTTCGGAGGACGTCATGAACCAAACAAGTTTCCCAAACTTCGGCCATTTTCGGCTTATTTGCAAAACGGAACTGTCAACACGTTGTTGAACATCAACCATGTAGGTAAGTCAACAGTAGAATCCTAAAGCCCCGAAAGTAAAAGCTTCCACAATGGCCAGGATACTAGTGGAGGGTCTCTTCTCTCTGGTCACTTGTCTCTGGAAACATATGAAAACTGGTGGAACTTACGTTCCGGGAGAAAGATGATCTTCTCGGTCTTGACCCAATAGTTGTCGTCCTCGTCGTAGTTGTAAGGCGAGTTCCTGAAGTTGAAGGGCTGGTCACCTATCATGCCGGGCGTCTGCATGTGGGCGTTGCCGCGGTGGGCATCCAGGATCATGTTCAGCGGCGGGATTTTGGGCACCTTGAGCCCAGTCGTGTTCGGCGGGTGCTTCAAGCCGAGCTTCTCCAGGATCTCCGCCTTGAGCGCGTTCAGCGTGTAGTTGATCCGCTCCTCCCTCGAGTCGCACAAACTGCACATCGGCCCGGCGCCGATCCGCCTATCGTCGGCCACATACGCCGCCGACGTATTGTCGTACGCCGAGGGTTCCCTGTTGCTGATCGTCCGGGTGACGGAGTTCCGCGATGATCGCGGTTGGCGCGACAGCACGCTGTCCGCGCCGTAGGTGTCCGCCTGCGACGCGGACACCATTTCGACTGAGATCGCACTAAGCACTATGAACAAAACTACCCCGACCCTATAATACAAGTTTGACTGGAGGACCCCCATGACTCGGTCTTTCAGTTTGTGCCGGCTGTGGTTCGTGTGAAAGGTCCTACAGGGTTTCCTGGGCGTGCATTTGGAGCTGCGTTTCGAGGGGGTGAGGAAGCGTCGGATCTGCGCCGCGGTTTCCATCGTGATCAGGGGTGGTGATTTGGGTCGTCACCGGCGGGTATCTTGGAGATTCGGGAGTTCGTGATGTCTCACGTGCCAGGTTTTGCGCTGTGCCTGCTCAGAGCGCTGTATATGAAGAAGTGCGAGTCCTACTCGTCCATCTGGAAAAAAAGAGAATATTAAGATTTTTTTTTTAATGTGCTAATTGGAAATATTCGCAAAGTAGCTGAAATACACTTAGAAAGGTTCACTGGAAAAAAAACACATTGGATCTAGAGTCCAGACTCTTAAAAACATCGACATGAAAAAATTCTCTTGATTCTATCAGATTCAAGCTTAAATCAAGAATCAAGCCTCTTAATTTGAGCGGATTTCCTTTTGATTTAAGCTTAAATCTGATTGAATCAAGAGTATTTTTTCTGGTCAATGTTTTCAAGAGTCTGGACTCTAGATCCAATGAGTTCTTTTTTTCCAGTGTTGGTGGCGCCTATCAAAACGTTTGGCTATATCCATGGTGAAACTGTAGAATTGCGTATTTCGGTTTGCGGCGTTGCAAGATTCCTGTCAAACTACATCTTCAACATGAAAAACTCTTCGACGTCATCTTTTAAAACTTTGGTAATTTTCTTCCCCATGTTAAGAATCTTCTATAAAAATTTCAAGCCATGGTGTTGGTTTGATCTCGCCTCTCAAAAAATAAGATAGAAGCGGAGATTATGAAACGTCGTAACTGATATACACATGTTTGCAGTTTTACCGTCGATATGTAAATTCCAGGAAATTTTGTAGCCAGTCTCGGCCCCTACCGATAGTTAGTAGTACACCTAATAGGTATATCTGTCGCAGGCAGTTAGAAATTGTCGGCACTTTGCAAGCCACTGTTGATAAAAGGAAAATCACAACGTTCTGAAATCAAGGAACAAGAAGAGAGGCAAGATTATTTGCCTTAAATTGGAGCGAAGGGCACTGCCTCCGTAAAAAAAAAAAACGTGGTAGTAACTAGCGCCCTCGGAAGAGCGTGTTGTGAGATCCGTGTGATTAGTCAGGTTTAGGTTATATAGGCAACTAAACTAACTGAGTGACCAGGCGTAGAGTATCCAAAAAATTGAAGGCGCTCCAAGCCGTTCCGTTCGAAACGTTCCTTAAAACTCCCTTGAGTTAGAATCACTTTGCGAGCAGCACGTTATCTACAGAAATTTCATAGACGTACCGGTCATTCCAGACTGAGAGGCTGAAACTCCCGAGTGTAGCAACCGTTGCTTCGGCCGCTGGACTTATAGCAGTCGAAACCATCGCTCCAGCACCCGGAACTTCCGGCCACTGAGCCCGAGAAGATCCGTAAGTCTAAAAATCCAGTAACTCCCTTTTCGGTGTACATTAAGATTATTTGAAGAAAATGCTCAGACTTTCAAGTTCGGAAGCTTTAGATGTCTGAAAACAACTCTGCCATGCTATGGAAAAATGCCGTATGAACATTCGACAGTTGCCAGGTCTCCTTCGATAAAATGTTTATTTTTGAGGAAAGTTCATGATATTTTTTCTTGAAATTTTCAGGAAATTTAGGTAAAATTGCGAATAAAATTTACTATGAAACTGGGAGAAAAATATTCATAAGCTTACCAAGAAATTCGTGCTTTATCAAAGGAAATTTGGCAACCCTTAAAGGCTCATACGGCGTTCTTCCTTAGCATGGCAGAACTTGAGTAGGTTCCTCGAAACAGTGATATTCTCGGCGGAGAGAGAAGCTACCAAGGAGAGGTTCATCTTTTGAGAACGAATCTCATGTTCCTCGGTGCAACGAGATTTTCTTTCGGACACCTGATATCTAGAACAAGGCATTTCCATCCGCGGGGCTTTGAAGGGACCGGCCGGCGCATGCATTTACTGGAATCTTACGCTGGATGCTCCTCATCTTTTCCTCGGAAAAGTATGATTCATAGTTTCACAGTGGACAGGCTGCTGCCCAGAGGACGGTTCGGATTGCGAATTTCGATGCAAGCATGAACGGAGCATCAACAAATGAAAGTGAGACGCACAATCCCTACTGCGTCGGTGAAAAAAAAGACGAGAGATGATCGGAGTAAGGGCTGCATCAAAAAGAAATGCACCGACAAGGACGCAGGGTCATCCCGTTGTTGTCGGGTTGCAGTTGAACTTTCGTCAACGGTCATCAAATCCAATGGACGGTGTTCGAAACTCACTTTTGAGTTTTAGGAGCCGTGTGGCGCATGAAGCTTGATTATTAGGGTCCATTGATGATTTTTTAGGGGCCAAATTAATTTTTTGCCTATATTACGGCGCATTAAGTGAAAAGTTAGACGCAAGATGTTTTATTCACTAAACTAGTAGCTGTGCTGTGACTTAAAGGAGATTTCGAAAAATCACCAAACAGAAAAATTAGGATTCTTTTGAGAGGGGGCGGGGAGACGGGGGCAATTTTAAGGGGCCACGTTGGCGTAGAGCCTTCATTTTATAGGCGCCATGACCGATTTCTTAGGCGCATTCGGCGCGTTGGCGCCTGTGAGTTTCGAACACTGCCAATGGATATAAATGTGAATATTCGCATCATTGAGCCCAAGAGGCAGTGCGATCGCGATAAATTGCGATTCGATGGAAGAATGTATCGCAATTTTTCCGACGTCGATTTACTGCAATATTATCGAAGATAAAATCGTGATAAGTTGAGATAAAATTTCGATTTTTACCCAACCCGATTTCCCAGAGATAACATTGCGACAAGATTGAAGGGAATTTGCTCAGATGATGATTCTAGCGATTTCATCGCCAAAGAATCGTAAAATAATCGCGACTGAATTTCAGAATATCGCGAATTTTCAGTTGAATATGCAACTTCGGAATCTTGATTTGTTCGTTGTGTTTGGTTCGATTGATGTTTTTGGTGCGTTCCATGCATTTTATGCATATGTTGCATTTGGTGTGTCATGTGTTTGTGTTTTTAATGTTTTTGGGCCATAAAACGCTGTAGAAAGTGTATCCATGGCGGAATCGATATTTTTAGACGCCATCTTGTCTTTCTCAACATTGGGTTTTCAAATGGGAACTTACAATGCGCAACTTTGAACTTGTTTATAGTGGGATAACATCTATTGAAAAAATCGTCGGAAATTCCGGTGAGCAGCAGTCTGCACTTTCTACTCTTCAAAAATGAAAGAATTAAAATTACTGAACAAGCTAACATGGCAACATCGCCTGCAGCGCGAGGAGCAAGATGCAATTATTGCACGTTCAGCGACGAAGCGAAAGGACAACACGTTAATGCGTGGATAACACGTTCCACGCGCGTCAACAAGTAAATATTAATTGGACAGCGTCCATCGAAAACAGCACATCATCTACAGTTTTGTGGAGCGGATAGAACGTTTTTGCCGGAATCCGGCCAACTGATCGCAGCTTGTTGCAGCTGTAAATGCAGGAAGTTCCATTACCTTTAGCACCTCCTTCAAACTCGGTTTAACAGTGTAAATTCGCGGGGCCCCATCGTTAGATTCGCGCCTCTAGCCCTCTTTCATATCTGCCCTTCTAATTGAAAACCACTTAAATTTAGTCCAAATTTAATGCAGATATGCGGTTTTCTATTAGGCTTTATTCCTGTAAGTCAGCCTCAACTATTTCAGAATCGATTGGATTTTGCAGGCGTCAGTCATCAGAGCACAGAAGTAAAAGAGGCTCGATTAGAATATTTTACTGTACGCAGGTTCGAACTTTTAGCTCATGACCCTCGATCCGAAAGTTTAGATTCATAAGGCACAATTTCAATAACGCAAACTAATCAGTCCAACCCATTGGCGGATTCAGCAAATTGGCAAAATTGTCTTTTCTCCATTTAAACCTATGGATTTGTATCGATTCTTGGAGGGGCCAGGTGCTCCGAGAAGAATCGATTATTTAGCATAGGTTTATATGGAAGAAATCCCGTTATTGCCAAATTGCTGGATCCGCCTCTGGTCCAACCAGTAGTAGAGAGCCTGAGCGTTCAATATGTGCACGCTGGCCAGGACCCTTCATGACAAGCTATTTTCTCGATTATTTAAGGAGTCACAAAATCGAGAACTATGAGAACAATTAGGGCATTGGTTCCAGGAAATCCGAAGTTCCCCTCTCGGCACTCTAGGCAGGCTTAAAGGGGGTCCTAACTTTGAAAATTGGAGTTCTCGTCTCAATTTGGAGATAATTTGATCGAAATCAGAAAATGGTAACTTTATTCGATACTTAAAAATCCAAAATCGGCCCATTTCTGTTCTAAATTTTGACCCCTAGGGTTGAGGGTCAGAGCCCCCACCCAGAGGCTCGGGGAACGCGGTATCCTCAATCTCATAGGTGATCGACCCGAAGGGATACAAATATGACGACTTCGACGCCCTCGGGACCTTGTTGATGGGGTACTAGATAAGTCCTATCAAATTAAGTCCTAAAAATGTCAAATTCTAAAGCGGAAAGCCCCCGTGTATCCCATCAACGAAGCCGGGGGGGCGAGGGGGGCTCCGAAACTGTCAGATTCGGTTTTTTTTTAGGTCGATTACCTGTGCTGCCGTGCTGAGGAAAAACGTCGTATGGACGTTCCAGGGTTGCCAAATTTTCTTCGATAAATCGCAAATTTCTGGGATAATTTGTCAGCATTTTTTCTCCAATCTTTCAGATAATTTTGCTCGCAATTTCACCTAAAGTTCCTGAGAATTTCAAGGAAAAACATGCAGAGCTTTCCTCAAAGATAAACATTTTATCGGAGGAAATTTGGCAACTCTCGAATGTTCATACGGCGTTTTTCCTTAGCGCGGCAGTGTGGGTATACATTTTTTTTCGAGCCTCTACGTCGATTGAGTGACCTAACATTTTATTGAGAGGGCATTTCCTTTAACTTCTTGGAATCGGGCAGGGATATGCCAATTCTGAATTTTTTGGTATCGCGATTCTGGTAACTCTTAGTCTCCACGATCGATTTTGGCAATTTGAGTTGAAAAACCTAAAAATGTCCGGATACAACTTTGCTTATTCAAAGTGCCTGGGTAAGGACTTTCCTGTCTTTGGGTAGGTGTCTTTTAAATGTCGTGGCATTTGCTTTCTGAATGGATCTGACACTTTAGTAAGCGCAAACATATCACATACGTATATATTAACAAAAATTAAGGCCAAATTTAAATAA